ATCACGGAACCCATCTACCACAGACACCCCATGGAGACCTGAACCCCCACCCCAGGGACCACCCAACTCCGTGGATGCTCCATGGAGACCTCAACCCCCACCCCAGGGACCACCCAACCCCACAGACACCCCATGGAGACCTGACCCCCCACCCCAGGGACCACCCAACTCCGTGGATGCTCCATGGAGACCTCAACCCCCACCCCAGGGACCACCCAACCCCAAGGACACCCATGAAGATGGGACCCCCAACCCAGGAACGCCCATGGAGACCTCAACCCCCACCCCAGGGACCACCCAACCCCACTGACACCCCATGGAGACCTGAACAGGGACCACCCATCCCCACGGACACCCCATGGAGACCTCAACCCCCACCCCAGGGACCTCCCAACCCCACTGACACCCCATGGAGACATGAACCCCCACCCCAGGGACCACCCAACCCCACAGACACCCCATGGAGATCAGATCCCCCACCCCAGGGACCAACCAACTCCATTGATGCTCCATGGAGACCTCAACCCCCACCCCAGGGACCACCCAACCCCACAGACACCCCATGGAGACCTGAATAGGGACCACCCAACCCCACTGATAACCCATGGAGACCTGAACAGGGACACCCCATCCCCACGGACACCCCATGGAGACCTCAACCGCCCCCACCCCAGGGACCTCCACCCCACCCTGACACCCCATGGAGACCTGAACAGGGACCACCCAACCCCACAGACACCCCATGGAGACCTCAACCCCCACCCCAGTGACCACCCAACCCCAAGGACACCCATGAAGATGGGACCCCCAACCCAGGAACGCCCATGGGGGTCTGAACCACCACCCCAGGGACCACCCAACCCCATGGACACCCCATGGAGATCAGATCCCCCACCCCAGGGACCAACCAACTCCATTGATGCTCCATGGAGACCTCAACCCCCACCCCAGGGACCTCCCAACCCCACTGACACCCCATGGAGACCTGAACAGGGACCACCCAACCCCACAGACACCCCATGGAGATCAGATCCCCCACCCCAGGGACCAACCAACTCCATTGATGCTCCATGGAGACCTCAACCCCCACCCCAGGGACCTCCCAACCCCACTGACACCCCATGGAGACCTGAACAGGGACCACCCAACCCCACAGACACCCCATGGAGATCAGATCCCCCACCCCAGGGACCAACCAACTCCATTGATGCTCCATGGAGACCTCAACCCCCACCCCAGGGACCTCCCAACCCCACTGACACCCCATGGAGACCTGAACAGGGACCACCCAACCCCACAGACACCCCATGGAGACCTGAATAGGGACCACCCAACCCCACTGATAACCCATGGAGACCTGAACAGGGACACCCCATCCCCACGGACACCCCATGGAGACCTCAACTCCCATCCCAGGAACCACCCAACCCCTCAGACACCCCATGGAGACCTGATCCCCCATCCCAGGGACCACCCAACTCCATTGATGCTCCATGGAGACCTCAACTCCCATCCCAGGAACCACCCAACCCCTCAGACACCCCATGGAGACCTGATCCCCCATCCCAGGGACCACCCAACTCCATTGATGCTCCATGGAGACCTCAACTCCCATCCCAGGAACCACCCAACCCCTCAGACACCCCATGGAGACCTGATCCCCCATCCCAGGGACCACCCAACTCCATTGATGCTCCATGGAGACCTCAACTCCCATCCCAGGAACCACCCAACCCCTCAGACACCCCATGGAGACCTGATCCCCCATCCCAGGGACCACCCAACTCCATTGATGCTCCATGGAGACCTCAACTCCCATCCCAGGAACCACCCAACCCCACAGACACCCCCTGAAAACCCACCCAACCCCCACCCCAGGACCACCCAAACCCCCCTTATATGTCCCCTCCCACCCCATGGGGACCCCACTCACGCTCGCAGATGGGTTTGGGGGTGCTCCAGCGCCCCAACTTGGTGCAGTTACTGCGGGCGCTGCCCACCAGGCGGAACCCGGGGTTGCAGCTGTACTCGGTCCACGTCCCCTCCACCGGCACCCGCTCCATCGCCCGTGCCACCGCCTGCCCGTTCTCCAGGCTCAGGTGCATTTTGGGACAGGTCCTCACTGGTTGGGGGTGCAAAGGTGGTGGTGGTGGGGGGTGGGTGTCAACTCCACATCCTTCCCAGGGTAACCCCTACCAACGTGGTGGGTGGTGGTTGGGACTTCTGGTGATGGTATCGGAGATGGGGATGGTAAAGGTGATGGGGATCATGGTGGTGATGGCGATGCTGGTGGTGGCGGTGATGGTGATGCTGGTGGTGATGGTAACAGTGATGGGGATGCTGATGGTGACGGTGATGGTAGGGTGATGGTCATGGTAATGGGGAAGGTGATGGTCATGGTGGGGATCATGGTAATGGTGATGGGGATGCTGATGGTCACATTAATGGTGAAGGTGATGGTGAAGATCATGGGGATGGGGATGCTGATGGTAATGATGACGGTCATGGTCATGGTCATGGTAGTGGTGAAGGTAGTGGTATGGTGATGGTCATGGTGAAGATCATGGTAATGGGGATGGGGATGCTGATGGTGATGGTGATGGTCATGGTGATGGTGATGGTCATGGTAATGGTGATGGGGATGCTGATGGTGATGGTCACAGTAATGATAATGGTAAAGGTGATGGTCATGGTGAACGTCATGGTAATGGTGATGGTGATGAGGATGCTGATGGTGATGTTCATGGTAATGGTGAAGGCGATGGACATGGTGAAGGTCATGGTAATGGTGATGGTGGTGCTGATGGTCATGGTCATGGTAATGGTGATGGTATGGTGACAAGGAGGTGACAAGGATTGGTGATGCTAACGGTGATCGTGATGGTAACGGTGATGGTAAACAGTAACAGTGATTGGTGATGCTAATGGTGATCATCACGGTGACGTAAACAGTGACAGTGATGGTGAAGATGATGGGGATGTGACGGTGATGGCAATAGTGACGGGGGTCATGATGGTGATGGTAAGAATGATGAGGATGGTGATGGTAACAGTGATGATGGTGATGGTAATGGCAATGGTAAAGGTAATGGTGATGGGGAGACTGATGGTGACGGTCATGGTAATGGTGACAGTGACTGGGATCTTGACAGGGATTGGTGACGGTGATGGTGAAGATGATGAGGGTGGGGATAGTGACAGGGATCATGATGGTGAAGGTGATAGTAACGGTGATGGTAACAGTGAGCGGGACGTTAATGGAGATGACAATAGTAACAGGGACGGCGATGGGGATGATGGGGATGGGGATGGGGATGGTGACAGGGACGGTGACGGGGACGCTAATGGTGATCACGATGGTGATGGTGACGGTAACAGCGATGGAGATGGGGACGGTGGTGGAGGCAGTGACGGTGACGGCAGTGGTGCCGGTGACAGGGCTGGTGATGCTAATGGTGACGGTGACGGTAACAGCGATGGGGACGGTGATGGGGATGGCTCCTCCTTTAACAATGGCACTGGTAATGGTGATGCTCATGGTGATCGTGATGGTGATGGTGGCAGTAACAGTGATGGGGATGGTGACAACGGTGGGAATGAGGACGGTGATTGTGATGGTGACAGCGATGGTGGTGCTAATGGTGATGGGGACGGGTATGGGGATGCTAATGGTGATCACGACGGTGATGGTGATGGCGACAGCGACAGGGATGGAAAGGGTGACAATGGTGGGGATGGCGACAGCGATGGTGGTGCTAATGGTAATGGTGACGGTGATGCTCATGGTGATCACAATGGTGACGGTGATGGCAACAGTGATGGGGATGAGGATGGTGGCAATGGTGGGGATGGTGATGATGATGGGGATGGTGACAGTGATGGTGACAATGATGGTGACAATGATGGCAATGGTGACGGGGATGTCGAAGGTGATGGTGATGCTAATGGTGATGCTGATGCTTATGGTGATCACAATGGTGATGGTGATGGTAACAGCAATGGGGCTGGGGATGGTGACAGTGGTGGTGATGGTGACAATGATGGCAATGGTGATGTGATGGTGATGCTAATGGTGACGGTGAGGGGCGGTGGTAATGGTCACGGTGATCACGACAGTGATGGTAATAGTGATGGGGATGGGGACGGTGACAATGGTGATGTGATGGTGACGATGATGGTGATAGTGATGGTGACAATGATGGCAATGGTGACGGGGATGGCAATGGTGATGGTGATGCTAATGGTGATGCTGATGCTTTTGGTGATCACAATGGTGATGGTGATGGTAATGGCAATGGGGATGGGGATGGTGACAGTGGTGGGGATGGTGATGATGATGGGGATGGTGATGGGATGGTGATGCTAATGGTGATGGGGGTGGCGATGCTCATGGTGATCATGATGGTGATGGTAGTAGTGACGGGGATGGGGATGGTGACAATGGTGGGGATGGTGATGATGGGGATGGTGACAGTGATGGTGACAATGATGGCAATGGTGACGGGGATGGCGATGGTGATGCTAATGGGGATGCCGATGCTCATGGTGATCACGATGGTGATGGTAATAGTGATGGGGATGGTGATGATGATGGGGATGGTGACAGTGATGGTGACAATGATGGCAATGGTGACGGGGATGGCAATGGTGATGGTGATGCTAATGGTGATGCTGATGCTTATGGTGATCACAATGGTGATGGTGATGGTAACAGCAATGGGGATGGGGATGGTGACAGTGGTGGGGATGGTGACAATGATGGCAATGGTGATGTGATGGTGATGCTAATGGTGACGGTGAGGGGCGGTGGTAATGGTCACGGTGATCACGACAGTGATGGTAATAGTGATGGGGATGGGGACGGTGACAATGGTGATGTGATGGTGATGATGATGGTGATAGTGATGGTGACAATGATGGCAATGGTGACGGGGATGGCAATGGTGATGGTGATGCTAATGGTGATGCTGATGCTTTTGGTGATCACAATGGTGATGGTGATGGTAATGGCAATGGGGATGGTGATGGTGACAATGGTGGGGACAGTGACAATGATGGCAATGGTGATGTGATGGTGATGCTAATGGTGATGGGGTGGCGATGCTCATGGTGATCATGATGGTGATGGTAGTAGTGACGGGGATGGGGATGGTGACAATGGTGAGGATGGTGATGATGGGGATGGTGACAGTGATGGTGACAATGATGGCAATGGTGACGGGGATGGCGATGGTGATGCTAATGGGGATGCCGATGCTCATGGTGATCACGATGGTGATGGTAATAGTGATGGGGATGGTGATGATGATGGGGATGGTGACAGTGATGGTGACAATGATGGTGACAATGATGGCAATGGTGACGGGGATGGCGAAGGTGATGGTGATGCTAATGGTGATGCTGATGCTTATGGTGATCACAATGGTGATGGTGATGGTAACAGCAATGGGGATGGGGATGGTGACAGTGGTGGTGATGGTGACAATGATCCTATAGGCTACACCCGATATGTCCTGCATCCCCTATAGACTACGTCCCCTATAGAGTACACTCCGTATACGCTGTACTGCGCACAGTACACTCAGTGTAACCTACACCCGACCTACACATTCACAACGCAAACTACCCCCCACTTACACACTCAGTGCCACCTACACCCCACTTACGCAGCCACAGCGCAACCTACACCCCGCGTGCACACTCGGCGCAACCTACACCCGACTTCCACATTCACAACGCAAACTACACCCCACTTACACACTCAGTGTAACCTACACCCCACCGGCACGCTCACAGTGCGACCTACACCCCGCTTGCACACCCACAGTGCCAGCTACACCCGTTTGCACACACAGAGTGTGGCCTACAACTGCTTGCACGCCCACAGTGCAACCTACACCCTGCTTGCACACTCAGTGCAACCTACAACCGCTTGCAGACCCACAGTGCAACCTACACCCCGCTTGCACAGTCACTGTGCCAGCTACACCCGTTTGCACGCGACCTACAGCCGTTCACACGCGCGCTGTGCCACCTACAGCCTGTTTGCACACTCAGTACAACCTACACCCCACTTCACGCTCACAGTGCAAACTACACCCTGCTAGACACACCCACAGTGCAATCTACACCCGAATTACATACTCTGTACAAACTACACCTGATTTACACACCCACAGCACAACCTACACGCCGCTTGCACACCCGCAGTGCAAACTACATCCCACTTACACACTCACAGTGCAAACTACACCCGATTTACACATGCACAGTGCAACCTACACCCGAATTACACACTCCGTACAAACCACACCCGTTTTACACACCTGCAGCGGAAACTACACCCGATTTACACACCCACAGCGCAACCTACACCCCACTTGCACATTCAGTACAAACAACACCCCACTTACACACCCGCAGTGCAAACTACACCCAATTAAGACACCCACAGTGCAAACTACCCCCCATTTACACCCCACCTGCACACTCGGTGCAACCTACACCCAATTTAAACACCCGCAGTGCCACCTACACCCCCCTTGCACACTTGGTGCAAACTACACCCCTCTTGCACACCCACAATGCAACATACACCCCATTTACACACGGCCAGTGCAACCTACACCCCACCTGCAC